GAAAGGCAGGTCATCAACCCGACAGCAAAGGGTAAGATCATCGACATAGAGTGCTGAGAAGATGCCAGAGGGATGGGAGGAAAGAAGACCATTGATGGCAACAAGGAAAAAGAGTAGTGCTCAGAACACTACCTTGGGGTACACCTTCGTATTGCTGAAAAGAGGCAGAGAGAGCAGTTTCAAGCCTCACTCTAAAGGAATGACTAGAGAGAAAGCTTTGTAGGAAGAGGGGGAGATTACCAAGAAGGCCAAAAGAACGGAATTGGGACAGAAGGTGGTATCTCCAGGTGGTGTCATAAGCTTTTTCCAGGTCAAAAAGGACAGCGACAATGGAGGTCTTTGCAGCAAAAGCAGTACTAATATAGACCTCCAAGTTTACCAAGACATCAGTTTTGCTGCAGCACTTGCAAAAGCCAAACTGAGAAGGGGAGAGGTGGTGAGTGTGTTCCAAGAACCACATCAGACGAACATTGACCATACGCTCAAAGAGTTTGCAAACGCACTCGTGAGGGCAATAGGGCAGAAGTCTTTAGGGGATGTCCCTAGAGACCCTGGTTTCCGAATAGAAAGAACCACCGCCTGAAGCCAGTCCTCAGGGACTGACGTCGTCTCCCAGATATGATTATACAGATTTAGTAAATACTGAGACACGCATGGAGGGAGATGGCGAAGCATCTCATAATGAATGTCATCCAAGCCCACTGCCATAGAACCACAGAGGGTTAGGGCAGACTGAAATTCGGGGAGAGAGAAAGAGAGAGAGAGAGAGAGAAGTGATTGTTATAGGGAAGCTGGAGATGAGTGTGAAAGTCTAGGGAAGATGATTCAAGAACAGGCTTACGATTCAGAAAAGACAGAGGAACATGAGAAACGGAGCTAACAGTCGAATACCTAGTTCAGTCGTGACCACCACTGAATCCTCCACAATACTGTACTGTAGTACCACGGAGGTGAAGGACTGGCGAGACATCTGGAACAAACTTACCCGCTATCTTGCGGATTTTCAACCAGATCCGGGGCAAAGGAGTATCGGACATAATCGTGGAGACATAATATTTCTAACTCTCACATTAAGCCGTACGGATGGTCCTATGGGACTGCACTTGCCTTCCGAAAGAAAATAAAAGAAGCAGCCGTCTGCCGGTGTCAGTGTTTCTTCCAGGCTGTCCGCTGAGCAGTCTGCATTCCACCAGGGAACGCACTTCCACGTGCCATGGGATGTAGAGCGAGGAATAGAGCGGAAAGCAGTGTCAAATATGGTGTCATGAAAAAGGAGGGCTCAAGGGAGAGGTAGAGTGGAGAGGTCGGAGAGAATAGCATGTAGGGTGAATAGGTTTCAGTCAGCCTTGGCAAACTGCCACCTAGGGAAGGAAAGAGGACGACAGGAGAAAAAGGTGACAAGGATGGGGAAATGGTCACTTATGGAGGTCACCATGAACCCGCCACGTGAAATCTAAGTAAAGAAATGATGAGCAGAAAGAAAAATCAAGACAGGAGAGAGTATGTGTGCACATGAGTCCACATGAGTGGATTCACCAGAATTTAAAAGAGATAGGGAAGGAGAGAGAGGACAAACGGTTCAAGAAGGTGGCCCCCGGGTGTTTGTCAGAGCATCACTCCAGAGGGTATGCCAACAGTTGAAATCACCCAACAGGAGCACAGGCTCTGGTAAGGAGTCTAATAGGTGCCTAAGATCAGGAAGAGAAAGTGGGACATTTGGGGGGAGAGAAATGGAACAGACCATATACCATTTACTCTCAAAGATACAGACTGCAGAACACTGGAGAGGCGACTGAAAAAGTAGGGGGGATGAAGGGAATATCAGTACGAATCAAGAGAGCAGTAGAGTTACGGGCCCCGGTGAAAGCTGGGGGGGAGGGATGAGAAAGGAAAAACCACGAAAGTGACCAGGAAGAACATCAAGCATCGGCTCCTGGAGACATACACAAACCAGTGAAAACTGTGTTATCAGTAGTTGGAGTTCATGGAAGTTGGCACAAAATCCATGAATATTCCATTGAAGAATAGACATTATCAAAAGGAGAGAGAACAGTAACAGAGAACGATGAAGAAACAAAGGCAACGAAGAACACAGCATACTAAAGAGGATCAGGACCATGATCAGTAAAATCAGGGTTAGGGGACATGGGTAAATCGAGCAAGAATGATGGAGTTAAGGAAGCGGGAGGACGGACCAGAGGCAGGCGGACAGGGTCCGGAGAGGAGAAAGGCAATGGAGAGGGGCGGGCAAGGGAAGCAGAGGAAGGAAGGGTGGGGAGCAGAAACAGGGAAGCACACCTCAGCAAAGGCAGCAACTGAGAGAATCAAGGGCTAAAGAAACTTCGAAAGCCGGGACCGGGGGCTCGACCACCGAAATGGGAGGGGACGCAGTGACAGAGTTGGAGTCAGAGGGTGGGGGAAGAAAGCGATGCCTTCTTACCAGCCGGGGAGGAAGGAGAGGAGCCAGGTTTATGTTTCTGACTTACAGTTGTGAGACAGAGAGGAGGGACGGGAGAGGAGAGATAGAACACAACACACGAGAATACGATATGTTAGCGAAAGAGGAGAGACAGCGGACTTGGCGTCTCGCCTCAGGAAAAGACAAAAGATCGCGGTGCTTCAAATTAAGGATGGCTTCCTCAAATTTGTAGTCTATACAAGCCCAGGAGAAGGTAGGGTGAACATCACTGCAATTGAGGCAGTGGGCCTGGGGAGAAGAGCACTCCGACTTAGAGTGACCCGAGTTCCCAAACATGGGGCATAGACACACTTCACGTGTACATTTGAGGGCACCATACCTTGAGGTGTTTTCAGGGCTTAGCATCCCTGCACTCCTCGTTGCCTAAATTTCCAGCACTTATTGCAAAGTCTAGGAGAGGGAATGTACTCCTGAACAGAGCATTGGGCACCAGCAAGAATTATAGAAGGCGGAAAGGTCCTACTATGAAAAGCAATCTTCACAACGTGAAGAGGCTGATGATGATGACCACGGGGGAGGGGGTCTAGTGAACTCATCAACCTAGAGGACAGAATGGCCTTGGGCTTCAAGGATATGCTTAATATCCTCGTGGCAGTCTTTCAGGTCCCTAACACCAGTCGCAACATGGTGCGGGAGGATAACAGTGACAATACGTATTGGCATTTATCCGGGCATTTTTGGAGACCCCGAACAAGGGTCTCCCCAATGCTGGACAATATGGCAAAGCGGGCAGCTGCATCCTGAGGAGCAGCAGCAATGACACATGTACCAAAACAAGTGGGGTTAAAAGTAACAGAAGCATCCACCGAATCAGTGAGGTGTTTATGAAAAAAGAAATCATCAATACGCGTAGAGTCCAGATGGTTGAGATCAAAGTATTTAGTCCATGTAGCAGGACCCAACAAAATGTTGAATGTATTAGCACTGGAAGGGATCTTGCAAGGCCATCAGTGGTGGAGTCGGTGCCTAGCACCCCCAGTGAGAGTTGCAGTTGAGTAAGAGTAACAAGGTGAGTAAAAGGTGCAGTTGCCACAATGAGAAAAGTAGCTGCTCCAGTGATGAGGTGGTCACCACTGGGGGCTTGGGGCTCAACCCTACCACAGAGGTGGGAAGGCAGTGGAGGGGAGTAGTCGGGAGGGTCAAAGGAGTAGCTTGGTCTGGGCACACTTTAGTGGGGGCTACATAGCCCGGCCTTCCAACACAGTCCAACTCGAGGGCTTGGTCGCCCACCCCACGAGCCTGGGAAGTTATAAGAGGATCATTTAGCAGTATAGGAACAAGGAGGTAGTAATTTCATCCACGAATGAGCCCCCATACCCACCATGGAGCCACAATTAGAGGATAGGACACCTAACAAGAGATAGGCTGGGCCCCCTAGGGGTGCATCATGAGTATGCGCCCCACAATTGGCACCTTAAGTACTATCAGTCTGTTGAGATCGGGTTTAGCAACAAAGGTGAGGATTGACAATAAAAGCGTTCCCTCGCTCGCAAAATTGGGTACCACAGTTCTAAGGGTGAGTGTATGTGCTTCCCCAAACACCCGGGAGTCAAAACAGAAGATAGCCGAAAGAATAATCAAGACTGACAAAAGGTCGGCAGGAAAGACAATGAGAAAGGAGAAGGGAGGGGGGGGGGGGGGAATGAAACATAACGAAGAGAAAAAAGTGACCAGCAGAATTAGTGAAGATGGCAGCAGGAGAATAAGACTTCAAAAGTACAGAGGACTGTCCCATGAGCATCACATCTCGGCAGCCATCTACCAAGCCCCCTCACGATGACAAAGGGCTGGAAAGGGAGGGGGGGGGGATAATGCTGTCAAACGACCTACCATTTAGTGAGCATAATAAAGCAAAAGGACAGGATGGATTACGAGAACATTCAGATCAAAGGATTCCACCGCAATGCTTCTACTTATATATTCTAAATTATCAGCAAGTGCCCATTATGACTCCTGAACTACCAGTGAGTTCCTGCCTGCATCTAGTGTGGCCCCTAAACTACAGACATGACTGCCTGCTAGTGGCCATTCTGGCTCCTGAAATACCCTATGTGAATGCCCAGTGTGGCTACTAAACTACATGTTAAGTAGCCTATTTGTGCCTGCAGAATTGAGCATCAGCTCTTGGATCCCACCTTTCTAGCTGTTGGTTGTTTAAAGCAATGACTCCTGTCCTATATCCCGTTCATATTTAGTTTTAAAATTCTGTATATAATTTGCTTACACAACCTACTTCTTTAGTTCATTCCATTTTCCCACTACTCTCACGCCGAAACAAGACTTTCTAGTAACATCTCTATGACTCATCTAAGTTTCCAGCTTCCACCCGTGTTGGTATTCAGTGTGAACATTCGTCTATTTCCACTCTGTCATTCCACCAAAGTATTTTATATGTTTCTATCATACATCCCCTCTCCCTCCTTTTTATTAGTGTTATCAAGTTCAGCTCCTTTAGTCACTCTGCATACCCCATCCCTCGCAACTCTGAGACGAGCCTCATTGCAAACTTCTGAACCTTTACCAGTTTCCTTATATCCTTCTTCAGGTGGGGCTCCATGATGGGGCAGCATTCTCTAAGACATGTATGTGCCCAATATCGCTCCTTAACTACCAGCATAGAGTACCTTTCTACTAGAGTGCCCACTGTGGCTCCTGAACTACCAGCATGAGTGCCTGCCTACTAGAGTGCCCACTGTGGCTCCTGAACTACCAGCATGAGTGCCTGCCTACTAGAGTGCCCACTGTGGCTCTTGAACTACCAGCATGAGTGCCTACCTACTAGTGCCTACTGTGTCTCCTGAACTACCAGCATGAGTGCCTGCCTACTAGAGTGCCTACTGTCTCTCCTGAACTACCAGCATGAGTGACTGCCTACTAGAGTGCCCACTGTGGCTCCTGAACTACCAGCATGAGTGCCTGCCTACTAGAGTGCCCACAGTGGCTCTTGAACTACCAGCATGAGTGCCTGCCTACTAGAGTGCCCACTGTGGTTCCTGAACTACCAGCATGAGTGCCTGCCTACTAGAGTGCCCACTGTGGTTCCTGAACTACCAGCATGAGTGCCTGCCTACTAGATGCCCACTGTGGTTCCTGAACTACCAGCATGAGTGCCTGCCTACTAGATGCCCACTGTGGCTCCTGAACCACCAGCATGAGTGCCTGCCTAGAGTGCCCACTGTGGCTCCTGAACTACCAGCATGAGTGCCTGCCTACCAGAGTGCCCACTGTGGTTCCTGAACTACCAGCATGAGTGCCTGCCTACTAGAGTGCCTACTGTTGCTCCTGAACTACCAGCATGAGTGCCTACTGTGGTTCCTGAACTACCAGCATGAGTGCCTGCCTACTAGATGCCCACAGTGGCTCCTGAACTACCAGCATGAGTGCCTGCCTACTAGATGCCCACAGTGGTTCCTGAACTACCAGCATCAGTGCCCACTGTGGTTCCTGAACTACCAGCATGAGTGCCTGCCTACTAGATGCCCACTGTGGTTCCTGAAGTACCAGCATGAGTGCCTGCCTACTAGAGTGCCCACTGTGGTTCCTGAACTACCAGCATGAGTGCCCACTGTGGTTCCTGAACTACCAGCATGAGTGCCCACTGTGGTTCCTGAACTACCAGCATGAGTGCCCACTGTGGTTCCTGAACTACCAGCATGAGTGCCCACTGTGGTTCCTGAACTACCAGCATGAGTGCCCACTGTGGTTCCTGAACTACCAGCATGAGTGCCTGCCTACTAGATGCCCACTGTGGTTCCTGAACTACCAGCATGAGTGCCCACTGTGGTTCCTGAACTACCAGCATGAGTGCCTGCCTACTAGAGTGCCTACTGTGGTTCCTGAACTACCAGCATGAGTGCCTGCCTATTAGATGCCCACTGTGGTTCCTGAACTACCAGCATGAGTGCCTGCCTACTAGAGTGCCTACTGTGGTTCCTGAACTACCAGCATGAGTGCCAGCCTACTAGATGCCCACTGTGGTTCCTGAACTACCAGCATGAGTGCCTGCCTACTAGAGTGCCTACTGTGGTTCCTGAACTACCAGCATGAGTGCCTGCCTACCAAAGTGCCCACTGTGGTTCCTGAACTACCAGTATGAGTGCCTGCCTACTAGAGTGCCTAATGTGGCTCCTGAATTACCAGCATGAGTGCCTGCCTAGAGTGCCCACTGTGGTTCCTGAACTACCAGCATGAGTGCCTACTGTGGCTCTTGAACTACCAGCATGAGTGCCTGCCTAGAGTGCCCACTGTGGTTTCTGAAACACCAGCATGAGTGCCTGCCTACTAGAGTGCCCACTGTGGCTCCTGAACTACCAGCATGAGTGCCTGCCTACTAGAGTGCCTACTGTGGTTCCTGAACTACCAGCATGAGTGCCTGCCTAGAGTGCCCACTGTGGCTCCTGAACTACCAGCATGAGTGCCTACTGTGGCTCCTGAACTACCAGCATGAGTGCCTGCCTACTAGAGTGCCCACTGTGGTTCCTGAACTACCAGCATGAGTGCCTGCCTACTAGATGCCCACAGTGGTTCCTGAACTACCAGCATGAGTGCCTGCCTACTAGAGTGCCCACTGTGGCTCCTGAACTGCCAGCATGAGTGCCTGCCTACCAGAGTGCCCACTGTGGTTCCTGAACTAGCAGCATGAGTGCCTACTGTGGTTCCTGAACTACCAGCATGAGTGCCTGCCTACCAGAGTGCCCACTGTGGTTCTTGAACTACCAGCATGAGTGCCTACTGTGGCTCCTGAACTGCCAGCACAAGTGCCTACTGTGGCTCCTGAACTGCCAGCACAAGTGCCTACTGTGGTTCCTGAACTACAGCATGAGTGCCTGCCTACTAGAGTGCCCACTGTGGTTCCTGAACTACCAGCATGAGTGCCTACTGTGGTTCCTGAACTACAGCATGAGTGCCTGCCTACTAGAGTGCCCACTGTGGTTCCTGAACTACCAGCATGAGTGCCTACTGTGGTTCCTGAACTACCAGCATGAGTGCCTACTGTGGTTCCTGAACTACCAACATGAGTGTCTGCCTACTAGAGTGCCCACTCTGGCTCCTGAACTACCAGCATGAGTGCCTACTGTAGTTCCTGAACTACCAGCATGAGTGCCTGCCTACTAGAGTGCCCGCTGTGGCTCCTGAACTACCAGCATGAGTGCCTGCTTACTACAGTGCCTACTGCATCTTCTGAACTACCAGCATGAGTGCCTGCCTACCAGAGTGCCCACTGTGGTTCATGAATTACCAGCATGAGTGCCTGCCTACTAGAGTGCCCACTGTGGTTCCTGAACTACCAGCATGAGTGCCTGCCTACTACAGTGCCCACTGTGGTTCCTGATCTACCAGCATGAGTGCCCACTGTGGCTCCTGAACTACCAGCATGAATGCCTGCCTACTAGAGTGCCCACTCTGGCTCCTGAACTACCAGCATGAGTGTCTGCCTACTAGAGTGCCCACTGTGGTTCCTGAACTACCAGCATGAGTGCCTACTGTGGTTCCTGAACTACAGCATGAGTGCCTGCCTACTAGAGTGCCCACTGTGGTTCCTGAACTACCAGCATGAGTGCCTACTGTGGTTCCTGAACTACCAGCATGAGTGCCTGCCTACTAGAGTGCCTACTGTGGTTCCTGAACTACCAGCATGAGTGCCTACTGTGGTTCCTGAACTACAGCATGAAAGCCTGCCTACTAGAGTGCCCACTGTGGTTCCTGAACTACCAGCATGAGTGCCTACTGTGGTTCCTGAACTACCAGCATGAGTGCCTGCCTACTAGAGTGCCTACTGTGGTTCCTGAACTACCAGCATGAGTGCCTGCCTACTAGAGTGCCCACTGTGGTTCCTGATCTACCAGCATGTGGGCCCACTGTGGCTCCTGAACTACCAGCATGAGTGTCTGCCTACTAGAGTGCCCACTCTGGCTCCTGAACTACCAGCATGAGTGCCAGCCTACCAGTGCCAAAGAATAACAACATACGATGCAGAGAGACAAGTATGCCATGGTGTTACACCGTGGCTCTAGTCGCCTGCCCTCCTGCTCGCCTGCTGAGGCGCCTGTTGTGTGTCGTGTTAAGTGTGTTGTGATACCTGTTTAGCCAGTAGCCAGACGCCGCCTATTGTTGGCAAACAACGCAGTCGGGACTAAGATCGAAGCGGTGGTGGTGGGTGTGAGGCGCTCGCCCGTCTGCGCACGCGCGCTCCCTACACTAACACGGCACCTAAACCCACTTGTGAACAAGCTCACCCACTCTAATATACCCAATCTCATACTTCATGACAGGACGGAAGGCACAACTAGTCGGGTCTGCGGTGTAATAAATGAATGGTAATAATTGCGAGGAGCGGCTGACACACTGGCAACTGGTTTGTTTATTTCCAGCAGCTGATCGCCTCGGCCGTGTGTACATGCGGATACGAGCCTATATACTCTATCCATACCACAATGCAACTCAATATCAATAATACATTTTATGACGCGATAGTTTTATAAAATATACGCAAGCCGCAAGAAATTCGTTAGAATCAGCTGTGAGATGAGGGATAGTGCTCTTGAAAAATAGGTGAGATAACAGGAAAGTGCTAAGGGAAGTGAAAAATCGGATGAGAAAAAGTTGCCCTAGTGTTTACAGTGCAGAGAAGAACATTCAAGATGGCCACTGGCAAGGGGAAAAACAAAACAGAGCTTGATTTTGAGGGATTCAATGAAGAAAGCATGATATTAGTAGTCTACATAACAAGTTGGTAAATTTAGATACTATAGTGAACTCTCATGTAGAAATAATTAGTAAATTGAAAGAAAGTAATGACCATTTGAATAGCAAAGTTTTATGTCTTGAGGGTTTAGTGAAAGACTTGCGCAAGGATAAGAATCAATTGGAAACAAATTGCAAAGCCATGGAAGAAGAAAATAAACTCTTAAAAATAGCTTTGGAAGAAGTTAAAGTAAATTTAAACATAAATGACTACAATAGGTTAGGCAAGGAAATTCAACAGGAGAAACAGCTTTTGTCAGCACAGATGGAGGAAGTTACACAGGGAATAGAACAGTGCAAGAAAGATATGCAACTCACTTATGCACAAGTGGCCAAGGAGAAGGAAAAAATAGAAGAAGCAGTAAAGGAAGTCAAACACTGCAGCAACCAAGATAAAACAAACATTAGGCTAGAAGTGAGGAAAGAATTGGCATCTAACCCGAAGTTGGTGCAAAACACAGTTGATCGGAGTAAGTCCCTGATCATTTTTGGCTGCAAAGAAAAGGCGATAACATCTAGGTCAGAAAGAGCTGTAGAAGAAGCTAAAGTAGTAGATAAAATTGTTGGCCTCGTGGAAGGTCTTACAAACAGAGAGAATGTGTGCGACTACAGGAGAATAGGCAGGTACGTAAAAGGGAAAGATCGACCTTTGAGGATCACCCTAAACGGTGCCAAACAGATGGAAGAAGTACTAAGGAATGCTAGAAAATTGCAAAGGGATGAGGATGGGAAAGGGTGGTCGTTAAGACGAGATCTTTCAAAAGAAGATAGAGAGAAGCTGAAACTGAACCTCGCCGAGGCAAAACATTTAAATGAGAGCAGGAATGAAGAAGAAATAAATTCTTTTTTCTACAAAGTGATAGGGGTAGGCAAACCAGTAAAGTGGTACATAAAGGCAAACCAACAAAATCAATAGAGAGAGGGGGAGTGAAGAATAAGGAGAGGGGGAACAAGTTCCTGAAGATTGCATACACCAACATAGATGGAGTGAGATCGAAGATACTGGAGTTAAGTGATGTAATACAGCTGCAGACACCAGACATTGTTGCACTCACGGAGACAAAACTTGAAGATGTAATTTTAAATGAGGTCATATTCCCAAGGGGCTACTCAATTTGGAGACGGGACAGAAAAATTAGGAAAGGCGGTGGCGTTGCTGTGCTGGTAAAAGAACACCTAAAGGTGAAGGAAATAATGACTGCCAATCCACAAGAAGTTGACATAATAGCACTAGAGATCTGCTATGAGGATGATAAACTAATGATGATAAATGCATATAGTCCACCGCCAAGCAGCACATGGTCAAAGGAGGAGCTAGATAGTAAACGTGAAGGTCTTATAACAATAATGAGAGAGATTATAGCGAGAGCGGATAACGATAGATCACGACTGTTGATAGTCGGTGACTTCAACTTGAAATCCATAGACTGGGAAGCATATGAAGCTAAAACAGAAGATTTTTGGACCTGTAAATTTGTAGACCTCATCCTGGAAACATTCTTGTATCAACATGTTAAACAAGCTACGAGGATGAGGGAAGGGGACGTTCCCTCCATGCTAGATTTGATATTTACCAGGAAGGAGGAAGAGATATTTGACATTCAGTACCTTCCTCCCTTGGGTAAAAGTGACCATGTCTTTTTGGGAATAAAGTATGCAATGCGTTATAAGCTGGAAGAAAATAAGGAGGTTGAAGCAGTTGAAAAACCAGACTTCAGGAGAGGACATTATGGTGACCTTAGAAATTTTTTTAGTGAGTATAATTGGACAGACTTGATGCTAGGCAAGGAAGTGAATGAGATGTATGGCAAGTTTTGTGAAATATATGATAAAGGCACAAAAAAATTTATACCAAAACAGAGATGCAGAACTAGGAAACAGGATTGGTTCAATAGAAATTGCGAGAGGGCTAGAGACCGAAAGACACAAAAATGGAATCAATACAGGAAGAGGCCGAACCCCCAAACATACCAGCGATACAAAGATGCGAGAAACAACTACACGGCAGTGAGGAGAGAGGCAGAAAGAAATTTTGAAAAAGGGATTGCGGACAAATGTAAAACAGAACCAGGTCTATTCTATAAATTCATAAACAACAAATTGCAGGTAAAGGATAATATTCAGAGGTTGAAAATGGGAAATAGATTCACGGAAGATGAAAAGGAAATGTGTGAAACACTAAACGAAAAGTTCCAAAGTGTGTTTGTACAAAATGAAATCTTTAGGGAACCAGATACAATAAGAATTCCAGAGAACAACATAGAACACATAGAGGTGTCTAGAGACGAAGTGGAAAAAATGCTCAAGGAGCTCGGTAAGAACAAAGCAGCTGGCCCAGATGGCGTTTCACCATGGGTTCTGAGAGAATGTGCATCTGAGCTCAGCATTCCACTTCACCTGATCTTTCAGGCATCCCTGTGTACAGGAATCGTAGCAGACGGGTGGAAACAGGCTAACATAGTTCCAATCTACAAAAGTGGCAGCAGGGAAGACCCCCTCAATTATAGACCTGTATCATTGACAAGTGTAATAGTGAAAGTATTGGAAAAACTAATCAAAACTAAATGGGTAGAACACCTAGAGAGAAATGATATAATATCAGACAGACAGTATGGTTTTCGATCTGGAAGATCCTGTGTATCGAATTTACTCAGTTTCTATGATCGAGCCACAGAGATATTACAGGAAAGAGATGGTTGGGTTGACTGCATCTATCTGGACCTAAAAAAGGCTTTCGACAGAGTTCCACATAAGAGGTTGTTCTGGAAACTGGAAAATATTGGAGGGGTGACAGGTAAGCTTCTATCATGGATGAAAAATTTTCTGACTGATAGAAAAATGAGGGCAGTAATCAGAGGCAATGTATCAGAATGGAGAAATGTCACAAGTGGAGTACCACAGGGTTCAGTTCTTGCACCAGTGATGTTTATTGTGTACATAAATGATCTACCAGTTGGTATACAGAATTATATGAACATGTTTGCTGATGATGCTAAGATAATAGGAAGGATAAGAAATTTAGATGACTGTCATGCCCTTCAAGAAGACCTGGACAAAATAAGTATATGGAGCACCACTTGGCAAATGGAATTTAATGTTAATAAATGTCATGTTATGGAATGTGGAATAGGAGAACATAGACCCCACACAACCTATATATTATGTGAGAAATCTTTAAAGAATTCTGATAAAGAAAGAGATCTAGGAGTGGTTCTAGATAGAAAACTATCACCTGAGGACCACATAAAGAATATTGTGCAAGGAGCCTATGCTATGCTTTCTAACTTCAGAATTGCATTTAAATACATGGATGGCGATATACTAAAGAAATTGTTCATGACTTTTGTTAGGCCAAAGCTAGAATATGCAGCTGTTGTGTGGTGCCCATATCTTAAGAAGCACATCAACAAACTGGAAAAGGTGCAAAGACATGCTACTAAGTGGCTCCCAGAACTGAAGGGCAAGAGCTACGAGGAGAGGTTAGAAGCATTAAATATGCCAAAACTAGAAGACAGAAGAAAAAGAGGTGATATGATCACTACATACAAAATAGTTACAGGAATTGATAAAATCGACAGGGAAGACTTCCTGAGACCTGGAATTTCAAGAACAAGAGGTCATAGATTTAAACTAGCTAAACACAGATGCCGAAGAAATATAAGAAAATTCACCTTCGCAAATAGAGTGGTAGACGGTTGGAACAAGTTAAGTGAGAAGGTGGTGGAGGCCAAGACCGTCAGTAGTTTCAAAGCATTATATGACAAAGAGTGCTGGGAAGACGGGACACCACGAGCGTAGCTCTCATCCTGTAACTACACTTAGGTAATTACACTTAGGTAATTACACACACACACAAAAAAAGAGGCTAGTGCGAAAGTTGGAGATGCAGGCTGGAGTGAGAGGGAAGGTACTCCGGTGGATAGAGGAATACCTAAGCAACAGGAGACAACGAGTCTGTGTGAGGGGTGAGGCCTCAGATTGGCGAGACGTCACAAGTGGAGTCCCGCAGGGGTCAGTCCTTGGACCTATACTGTTTCTGGTATATGTAAATGATCTCCCAGAGGGTATAGATTCGTTCCTCTCAATGTTTGCCGACGATGCAAAAATTATGAGGAGGATTGAAACAGAGGATGATAGTAGGAGGCTACAAGATGACCTGGATAGACTGAGTGAATGGTCGAACAAATGGTTGTTGAAGTTCAACCCGAGTAAATGCAAAGTAATGAAACTAGGCAGTAGGAAACAGGAGGCCAGGCACAGGATACAGAATAGGAGATGAAGTACTTAATGAAACAGACAGAGAGAAAGATCTAGGAGTTGATATCACACCAAACCTGTCTCCTGAAGCCCACATAAAGAGAATAACGTCTGCGGCATATGCGAGGCTGGCTAACATCAGAACGGCGTTCAGGAACCTGTGTAAGGAATCATTCAGAATCTTGTACACCACATATGTAAGACCAATCCTGGAGTATGCGGCCCCAGCATGGAGCCCGTACCTTGTCAAGCACAAGACGAAGCTGGAAAAAGTCCAAAGGTATGCTACTAGACTAGTCCCAGAACTAAGAGGCATGAGTTATGAGGAAAGACTGCGGGAAATGCACCTCACGACACTGGAAGACAGAAGAGTAAG